GGGGGGGGGCGTGGAAGAGCAGGAGAACTGCGATGGGAGGCTTAATTTGCTGTAATCAACCCCTCTTAGCATGCAGAGCCACACAGTGCAAGTCAAAGAATCTCTAGCAGAAAGAATTGCTCTTCAGTGGCGTTATGAATCTAATCACTTACGAGGCTGAGTCAGCATTCTGGGCTTTAGACAGAGCTCTCAGGAACAAAAGCCACAAGATCAGGTTTCACAGACCCTCTGAATGGGACACTTCATGGAGTGTGGGGGCCTGTAGCCTGGAAAGGGAATGAAATGCAAATTGGGCCACTCAGTCTCTTTCAGACACCCCAGGCTAGAAACCTTCAGGAATGAGCAAATCTCTGAGGCCTTCAGGGGCCGCCCCTGGGGGATGCCCCCTTCCTGACTCTGTTCTCCAGGACGATTGTCAGCGCTGCCAATCATCTCTGTCCCCCCCCCCCATTATACTGGGGAGATGTGTTTGCTCAGTGCGCACGGCCTTATAATCCTCAGAGGTGGAATTTCATAGCACAGCACTACGTCTGCCTCTGACATTCTCCTAAGCAGGATTTATTGCCTCCAAGACAGATGTGACTTGAATCAATTATGGCTGGAAGCAGTCACTCCCCAAGCAGCCTCTCGTTCTCTGGAATAGTCTTGGCCGACTTCCTGCAACTTGTAAGCTGATGTCAGAGTGTTTCATCATAATCTAAGGCTAGGAAGAGCGCTCTGGGTGTGGAAGTGCCCGAGCTACCATACCAAGCAAGTGCGGGGATGTGGCTACGACGCATGAAGAGCGGGTGTCCTACACCCACTACCAACACAAAATGCAGGCCTAATGGCAGGAAGCACGTATCACTTATATTTACAGCCTATCAGCTTCGCCCTACTAATGAACTTAAAATATGAAATAAGTCATTCATTTGAGGTAAGAAAATGCAATGAGGTAAGAAAAAGCAATTTTTTTTTTTAAACCCTGAACTTTTAGAAAAGGCTCTACAACGATTCTCACTCAAAATAACATCTTCGTCGACATCTACTTCAAAACTGGAAGCTGCATACCACCCTAGCCATCCCCCAAATTTTGAGTTCCTTAGCATTTTATAAACATGATGGTATTAATCTGAGAGAGTACATTTCAGAGATGGTTTAAGCCTGGGGGAATTAATTGACATGATTGTATTTGAGATCAGCAAGGGACTTGTGATCCAAACTACAAATTATATTTCAAATAGTGAGTTTGGAAGAAGAGATGTGAGGGTGATAGGATGGGGAGATAGCTTGGCAGTCTAAGTGCCTGCTTGGCAAGCAGAAGGACCCAGGTTCGATTCCTACTACTGGCTCCCACACCAGGCATGGTGGTGCAAGCCAGTAATCCCAGCACTGGCGAGGCTGAGAAAGGAGGATCACTATGAGGCTGAACCATGTAGTGAGCCCCTGTATCAAAAAAAATAAATGCATTTTTAAAATATATTTTAAAAATGACATGAGAGTGATATTTTTGGACTAATCACAGCACACCTCATTCTTTATTAATCTAAAAAAAAAATAACAGCAAGAAATCTTTGAACAATAAGCGTCTAAAAAAGACAATAGTTTTCCTAGGTACCTTATGGTGTTTTCCTTGGGAAGCAGACCCACCTTGATTTTAGAGTATAGAACCATGCACTGGTACATTTTATCTGAGTGTCTACATAAGAACATTTCAACATGCATTGATTTGGGAACAGAAGAGAATGAGATAATAAAATATTCCTACTAACCACATTATATGGGCTATTTTAATCCCCTTAAATAAAAAAACAAAACAAACAAACAAACAAAAAAACAACAGGGAAACATCATTATCAACGCCGGTGAGGCTGCAACTGTCCAGGGATTTAGGGATTTAGGAGGGGAAAATCTTTCCTTAAGCAATGGGAAACATTTTCATTACCATGAGTAATTGTACAGATTTCTGGGGTACAGTGGGATCAACCAGATGTACACAATGTGTAATAAAAAAAACCAAAATAGCATTTTCATCACCTTAAAAATTTGTCACTTCATAGTACCTCTGTGCTGGGAGGTTTTGAACTCTTTCCTCTAGTTTCCTATAAAATATATGATCAACGGTTGCACAATTGCAATCATACCACCATGCTATAGAACAGCGCGACTTATTCCTCTGATTCAACTCTGTGCTGGTAACCAATTACCCAACTTCCTTCTAACGTTTGAAATTTTTGAAGGCCAGTCCCAGGCACTGGTAAGCTCAGACAGGATGGAGAAGGAAAACAATGAATTGCTTCTTCTCTTCGAATTGGCAAACTAGAATTTCCATGCTGTCCTTGGGGACTCATTTAGATGGTTCCCTGGGCTGGGATGTTAGCTTATAGGATTGGGTCCAGGCATTGCAGAAAGTTAATCCTTTCAAGAACAATTTGCTCTCTTTTATTCAGTAAATTGCTCTAAATTTCCCTTTTTCTGAGTTTGAAAATTGGCTGCTGTGGCTTCAGAATGCTTCCTTTCTCTCCCAACAGCTTGGGAAGGACAGAGAGGCTGAACCGCTGCTCATAATAAGAGGGGAAGGGAGAGCTGTGAATGGGAATGAAAGGCTTTGCATAATTTGGGTTATCTCAGCACAGGACTCCTCAGAATCCCACGGGGCAGCTTCAGACATTGCCAGGTGAGACATGTACAAAAGCGTCGCTGGTTAAAGTCTTACTAGTACAAGACCGATTTAAAAAAAAAAAAAAACAAAACAAACATAACGCTTCACCACCATAGAAACAAAGCAAAGAAACCACAATTCGAAATCCCTGCTACAGGAAGGAGTACAGGAAACCGCAATCATTCTGAGTAGAAAGCTCCAGGGTGTGTGTTGTATGCCTGTGCCTCTGTCTCTCTCTGTGTCTCTGTGTCTCTGTGTGTCTCTCTCTCTCTCTCTCTCTCACACACACACACACACATTAAATCCAAAGACCATGCTCTGAAACACTTCCAGGGACTGAACAGGTAGACCAAAACAACAAAACCTAGTACAACTTAGCTCTCAAACATAAGGAACTGTCAATTCCCTTAAAACACCTGGTATTTGCCTATCAACATGTCTGGAGAAAGCCACCAACAAAGCCAGAAGGAGGAGATAGCTTATTTTTAAATATTTCAATATAATAATGTACTAAGGGAAACCTTGAAAAGTAACACCTCAACAATAGCAGGCAACAAGCAACACACATGCTGTAATAAATTCATTGCTGGTGTTAACGACCACAAAAAGAGTGCTGATTCACATCCTAGGTGGTACATCAACTGTACCAAAATATTCATTAGCTACTCAGAGATGCAGTTTGGGATAAGTATTTGTAAGTATTTGCTCCATTCCAACATCTTTGCCAGCCCTGATGCCTGCCAAGTCTGTATGTAAATGGATTTTCACTTTCCAAGGCTCATGGTAGATCCATTACATTCTCAGGGAGAACACATGTATTGTTTCTGAGCCTCATCACTTATTTAAAAATAAGCCATCTTAATACAAATTCCAAGTTAGACCTAATCAGAAACCCACGACACACAATGTCACAATATCTGTTATACAGTTGTTTACCGCAGAAACAACTTTTAGTAGGGTGGTCAGCTGAACATTCATAGATAGCTAATACCAGGGGAGAAAAAAAGACACAACTCTCGGTAGACTTTCTTGATCGATCTTCATACCTGAGCATCCATTAAAAGGTGCCTCATCAAAATCATGGAGCTCTTCAGGGTCTCTTTCTCCATGGGTAGAAAGGGGTCTTTGTCTTCCTCCAGGGCCTTCGACTTGGTGACAATAAAATGGGAAATCTGGTCATTTAGGGTGTGCAAGGATTGTACAGCTGTAGAAAGAGAAAGAAAGAAAAGTGAAGTCACCACTGGTCATTTTTTAAAAAATGGCTGGCACATTTCAAGGGAAAGGAGAGGTGTGAATCAGGGCCTTGTCAAGAACCACGTTGTGGAGCCATGAGTTCCTCCAGCGAATGACTTAACAGCTAATCTGTATTTGGGGACAACTCCTAATGCCAAGCCTCCATATAATTCTTGTGTTTTGCTCTTGAGCAAAACCAGACATGGCACCCACCTTACACAGCGCTCCGTGTTGTTATGGAAACAGAAAAGGAACAAGCTAGCAAACAGACACAGGAATGTGGCTTTGCGGCTAAGTGTTCACAAACTAGAGAGATTAACAGGGCATAGGGGATGGTCCTGGATTAGATTTACATTTATGGCAATGTAGTTGGCCGTTTTACCTCTGAGCAGATGGCCTTTGTCATTAAAGTTTATGAAGGGACGGCGGCCATGTTTTCCAATCAGGGCCACATGTGGGCTGGGAGAGTCATTCTATCTTTATAATACCCACAACACTTACCATCTGACACATTATAGATTTTAAGATTGTCTCTCCTTTGTTACAGTTGCTGTCTCCCTACTTTCTCTCCTGTGCATTTAACATGAACAGAAAGAAGTTTTCTAACTCTTGTTTACTATTATATTTCCAACAGTATCTCGAGGTAGACAGCACTCAATAAATAGTGTACAATTATTTCTCTTCCATTTCCATGAGTTAAAATTCCTTTCCTTATGAATTTCAATAATTTGCAGGTGAATCTGTGCTGCTTTCTGATTTGTTTTGTTTTGGTTTTGGTTTGGTTTCCCAGGACTGGAGATCGATCCCAGGACCTTCACCTGAGCTACCTTCCCAGCTCTTTTGATTTTTTTAATTTCAGACCGAGTCTTTGCTAAGTTGCTCAGTTTCCTTTGCTAGACTCTAATGAATTATTAATATCCTGCCTCAGCTTTTCAGATTGTTGGGATCACAAGCAGGCACCACCACATCCAAGCTAAAATCTATACTTTTAAACAAACAAACAAACAAAGGTAAGGCCTAGAGGTTCTCAGTAAAGCTAACATATCAGCCACAATTCTAACTGGGAAGGAAACTAGCATACGAAACACTGGCTTTGAAGACTTCTGCTTCTGGCCAAAGGCAGGCCGAAGGCCTAGATTGCCCAGCTGCCATAAATAGCCAGAAAACTAGACACTATTTTAGAGACAACTATATTTTAGACATCAAAAAGCAGAGAGCAATGGTCGGTGCTCCTTCGAAAAGGGAGAAACACCAGCTCTGTCCTGTCCCATCATCTCCATATGTGCTGGGGGAGAAAATTTCTGGACTTTAGCACAAAAAGGAAAAAGCCAAAGCAAGCTCAGGAACTGCGCTGAGTCTCACTGCAAGAGGGAGACTGGGAAGCTGCGAGGCAGGTGTGCAGGGCAGAGAACGGGCCATGAAGCCATACAGCAGTCCCCAGCAGTCTCTGCAGGAGTTCTTTGAGCTGTGGGCTGAAGGTCAGTCCTGCACAGAACACTACCTGCATGAACAGGCAATGAAATTTTCAGGGAAGGACAGTTGCTGGGGAGCAATGAGACAAAATTCTAAGGGGTCACATGGGGCCACCACTGCTGGCAGGATCACCAGCTTGAGAGTGGAGATTTTGTTGAAATATAGAACACATTTAGTAGCTACATCAAAAGCGCATAGCATTAGAAATTAGGCCAAACCATTCCTAGAATATAGGCTAGTATTGGTCTAGCCCACTCTCAAAATCAAGCTTAAAAGTAAGCCTTGAAAGGATCTAGGTAGTATCCAAGTAGCTAAATATTTACCAGAAAAAAAAAAAAAAAAAAAGAAGAAGAAGAAGTTGCATGCTTTTTGCAGAAAGATTTAGTGGCCAAAAGATGTAAAGTTCATAATGTATAATCATCAATAAGAAATTAGCTGGCTTTTGGAAAAAAGCAAGATAACGTGACTTATAACTCAGATAAAAATCAGAATACAAAGAGAGACTCAGAGCGAAGACAGAAAAATCAATGAGTAGAAACAGACCCAGAAGTTACATGATGAACAAGGTGGCCAGGAAGACAGCCACTAGAAGTGTGCTTTCTGTGTTTAAGGTTATAAAGTAGAATGTGGCTGTAGAGCAGAAAAATAACATGCTAAAATAAGAAGGAAATGGAAATTCTAAGGCTAAAAGTATAGGTTCAGAAATGAGGTTCACAAAGAAGAGAAAAGTTGTTGAACATGGATTCATAGCAACAAAATGACCCAGCACCAGTGGGCGGTGTCGTGGTAAGGACAGGAGGTGACATTGCTGCCTAATATACAAGCATCTACAGTCCAACATAGAGAGGGGAAGCAGAAACAATAGCTGAAGAGTTCATACCAAATTTGTTTTTGCAAATTTAATAGAGCCATAAATCTAAAATCTTGGACCAGTGAGAGATGGCTCAGCCGACTAAGTGCCTACTTAGACAAGTACAGGGACCAGGGTTCAATCCCTGGTCCCACAGCGCTGACCCCAGCCCTGGAGTATGTTGAGCCAGTGACAAAGTCTGGGCATGGTGACACATGCCTGTAATCCCAGCACTGGGGAAGCTGAAAACAGGAGGATAACCATGAGTCTGATCTGTGGAGTGAGACCTTGTACCAAAAACACAATGAAAATTACAAAAATAAATAAATGTAAGAATACCAGTAAGCCCCAAATAGCATGAACACAAAGAAAATGATACCAAAAGATAATTAAATTAGCAAATGCCACACACACACACACACACACACACACACACATGCATGCACACTAAAAAGAAGAAGATCGTCAAATCAGCCAAACTAGAAAGGCATGCTCCATTCAAAAAAAAAGAATGATGGCTGACTTTAATTGGAAAGCCTCATCCTATTTGCTTCTATTCCTGGTGAATGCAAATCAAAGGATAAAAGAAGTGACTTGACTGAAAGTGGAAAAAAATAAAGACTTGCCAACTTAGAGACATCTACACTCAATAATATCTTTTCAAAAAAATATGAAAGAGAAACACTTTTAGATAAAGAAAAGCCAGGAGAAGTTACCACTAGCAGACTTGCCCAGAAAAGAAGTGATAAAAGAATTTCTCTGAGTAGAAGGGCAACAGGAAAGATGGACATTTCAGTTTATGGAAAGGAAGAAAAAATTGTGTGCAAGGGGAAATGCATCAATAACGTAAGCATACTTTCTTTCTCATTGTTTAATTTAGTTAAAATCTAATTAACATTTAAAGCAAAAACAATATGGTAACTTTTTCTTTTCTTTTTTTTTTTTTTTTTTTGGCGGAACCGGGGATTGAACTCAGGCCCTTGCACTTGCCAGGGAAGCGCTTATTCTACTGAGCCATCTCCCCAGCCCTAGCAAAAACAATATGAACAATGTCTTCCAGGGTTGATCGCAAACACAGAACTAGGACGTTTTTCAACCCTAGCCCAAAGAATAGGGAGGATGAATTGAAGTATATTGTAAGAATCAAACATGCAAAAAGTGGTATAATATTATTTGCAGGAAAAATGTGGTAAGTGAGAGATGCATATTTAAATTCTTAAGTAAACTCTTACTAAAAAGTGACCAGCAAATAAATAAGCAAGTTCAAAAGTAGTTTTGAATAACCTTGGAGGACTGACCATAGAGTTGTGAGCACAGGCCATAGAGTGGGAAGAAAGCGGGCTATGACTCCACAGCCAGTCCGTGCTGCATGGAGAGAGCTGAAACCGGTGGAAGAGCAGCTGAACTCAACCTGAGAAGGATGAAGTGGGAAGTACGGGGCGTGAGGCCCGCCTTGTCCAGATTCCTGATCTGCAACAGAGATGGAGGGAAACACTCAGAAGCATTTATGGTCTGAAAGCGGAAGTGCCCTGCTACACCACACCCTGCCCTGGGCAGCCCAGTAGGAGGGTCTCTCTGTGCACATGCCAATATGGGCCAGTTGATTTGGGGCTGGGAGCGAGAGCTCCATGTCACTGGAAGTCAAAGAGGAGCAGAGATAGTTTCACTGCCTCCCTTCCTCATTCTCCACTTTTAGAATTCGTTAGCATCACTGGAGTTGAAGATTATTATCTCAATTGAACTGGCCAGAGAAAGGCTCGTAGACAGTAGACTGGGATAAATCCAGAACTGGTAATACCTACGTCTCCTACACTGGCCTAGTTCCCCATTCTTCCCACTTCCCTTAAACCTTAGCCACTGCTGAGGAGGATGTGCTGCTGTGTTTTGACCTGGGGAACCACACAGGCAATCCTAGGAGAGTCAGATGGAATGAGGGGTGTCACTAGGCTAGTCCCTCAAACCTTACCAATGACCAAGCCAGAGTCAGGAGAGGTTGCCTGGCCACTGGGTCACAGGGTGGCAGTTGATTAGGCAGAAGGTTCTCTAGAGCCTGCCTCAGTCTCCATCCTGTTCTCCCCTCCAACTAGCTGGGTAACCTCAACTCTTCTTTTATCCCATGTGTAAATGAAGAGGATAATGATAAAAATCATAGTAGTAGTGATAATGTATGCCTCTTGGAGCTGCTTCGGGGACTACATGACACAGTTTGAATGAGGCACGTAACAGGGTACCTGCCACACAGCACATATGTGAAAAATGTCACTTGCTGTGGTAATTATTCCACGGTTTGTGCCTCAGGTCTTCAATGTGCTGATACCAACTGTTATACTTATAACTGAGGTTAATTAGGAAGTCCTTGTCACATAAAGAAGCCAAAGGTGGCTTCTGTGTATTGGCCACAAGGTTGTTTATTTCTTGCCTATAGGCTGACTTGGTAGCTCAAAAGACTCCTGGTGCCGAACTCGAATTTGTGTACATCCAATTGCCTTCAGTGTAACTCCATTAAGCTCATGTTTTAGCCATCTAGAGCCCGTCTGC